ACTCAGGTCTACTTCTTACAGGGATTATGGCACCAAATGAGACCAATACCTGGAGGGACTATTTTTTCCTATAAGGAAAGGTGTAGGGATCATCTTAGACAGTCTCTGGTGCCATACTGTACCAGATGACAAATTGCAGTCATTTTTGCTAATAGCCTCCTCTGTCTGATCTAGTAAGTTAAACGGCAATTATTCATCTAAAAAAATCACGCCCGTTTTCATTGCCACAATATATTAAAATATATGAAAAAGTCTACAAGTTATTCATCACTTCAATACAATACAATACTAATGAAATTTTAGAACCTATAAAACAAGTTAGTTTATGAAAAAAAAGTGCTATTTGTGTCTCAAAATTGGTTTTGTATATGTGGGGGAAAATGCATACTATAAATTTAAGACAGAGGTATTTTTTATCCAACCAATGATAAACTGACAAAAAAAATAATGAAATGTTGCAAATTGTTAAAAGCCAAAGTAAATTATCTTGAGCATTTGGTAAACACATTATATGATAAAAAAGAAGTCACATGCATTCAATCTATTTTCCTATAAAGAGAAGAAAGAAATCAGATGCAAAATTTATAAATCCTGCTGTTTATGTTGTGATTTTGAATACATTGTACATTGGCATCCATTATTCTGGCTTTCTGTTCATGATGTTGCATTTAAATAACTGCAATTTTCTGCTTTATTCTGCAATTTAATATACTGCATGAGAAATGCTAATTTAAAAATACATTGTATGCAAATGCAATTTTATAAGATACACAATGCTGACGTCTTTCCATTAGACACTGACACAGAAAAATACACAAAACCACTGTGTCTGTTTGTAAAAAAGTTAACATGCCAAACCAGGGTTTGAATGCAAGGAAATTTCCAACCTTGGTGTTCATCTTCTTTACTTATTTCAGTGGCCTCCTACCTGTAGTATTTATTATTTCAAGACTCAACTCACTTAAGATTTCCATTTCCTAAATGAGCTATCTAGTAATGATAGTAGCCAAGACCAGGGCTACCTAAGAGTTCACTTTACCTCCTGCGTTGGGTTAATCTCTGCCTTCTAGCCTGGCATCCATACAAACCTTGATAGGAAATATTTGCCACAGGATTAACTCCTTTTATTTCCTATCACCTCTGTTCACAGTATTGTTTCTGGATGACTGACATGTTTGGATAAACACAGGTTTCATGGACTCCCTATCATTTACTTCACTGGACAAGAAATAAACAAACCATAGACTGAAAGTTCATCTGCAATTATGTAATGCACTTTTTGTTCAAATAATTTTGTTCAAAAATATCAATTTTGGCTCCTTTTTATCACATTATCACAAACTAGGTCTCTCTTAGATAGAGAAAAAATTTAAATCCAACATCTTCTATTGTTCTATCAATGAAATTTCTCAAAGCTGTATTAATGGCAACGGCTAGGATTCTACATAATTTTTAATGCAGTGACATAATTTCACCTAAAATATCAAAGATTCTCCAACTTTACACTACATTCCAGCTCAGTAGCTTACAATGATTATTTTATATCAAGACAGGCAAACATCCCAGTAACAGGTTGTCACCGCTATCCGGACGGAGAAAGACAACACAACATGGTGGGGACTCAGCAAACCATCAAATTAAACTATTTATGATATGCATCTAGTATATTATTAGTTCTGCTAGGGTAAAGTAGAAGCACCTCCATGCAGTGGTTAAGATGGTGTGATAAAACCTAACAGAAGACTGTTGCATGGTAGAACTGATTACAGCTGTGACATAGCACACCTGTATCTTTTAAAGCATGATTTAACTACAGTTAAATGTTTAAAATAATTTTTGATTATTCTCTGCAAAACAGACATCAAAAACAAAAAATGTGTGGTGAAAATATAAACCAGTACTAACTATATTATGTAACAATACCAGTACTTTTCTCCATTTGTTTTCCAGAAAAAGTGCTTCAAGGTATTTATAAAATAGATATATTTTAACCTATTAAAATCATTACAATATTCAGTTTTAGGAATTAATATATGGGAATGTCTTTTCAGCCGGAAAATTGAAATTGTCTTAACAAAAATTAATAACTTTGTCCTACATTGGTCTCTGGGGAGTAAAAGAGTACGAAATTCAATATGCTTCCAAATACATATCTCAGGCATAGTGGAAAGAGATTTTCAATGTATGCATATCTGCAATAGCAACACTTAAAATTAGAAATGTGATTCATTTCTTCATAAAAGGTTAAAGTATGTAGCCACTTTCTGGGTTCAATTTTTCAATTTGCTTCACTTAGAGGTGGCATGGCCTGACACATGGCAGGCAAAAGAGACTAAAGCCCTACCAGTAAAGGGTCAGTTGTTTTACAAATTAAAAAATTTGAGATAACACATGCATATCATTTTAACCAATCCAGGAAGGTCACCTTTTGATGACCTCTGCTTCAGCTGACCACTTCATGATACCAATGTATTAATTTTATTCTATTGGTGGCTCTTTAAAAAATAAAAAAAGGAAAAGGCTGAGTTAAAAAAACAAAAACATCATTCAACAAAATATTTTTGTTCCCTAAAAATAATAACAACCTTCAACATGGTTAAAAAGCTGCAATTTCAAATAGTTTCTGTTTTCTCCAACAATTACGCAGACAGTACTTAAATATACAATGACATACATGGAAATAACAAAGACAAATGGACTGAGCATGCCACTAAATCTGATGTAAAACAAAGAGGACCCATAATCTATTACAGGGTACCTTACAAAGCGAGCCCAGAGTTTCACCTCTCAGCTCTTTACCTCAGCATGACAGGTAAAAAATTTAATAGGGATATTGCATGTTAGGAAGAAATGAAGAGCAGAGAACAGGTCTGATGGATCCGCCGCCAGTCTTGGCAATGGTTATGTAGAACATGGCGGACTATACTCAATTATGTTTTACTGATAAAGGTCAAGCAGCTAGTGGCCTGGCATTAATGCTGTGATGGAATAAATTTTTAACCCAAGGCTCAAAGGTTGAAGAAAAAGGGTGGAAAGTGTGTGGTGTGTTGACAAATAACCTGTATATATATAAAAGTAATTTATCATCCAAAAACTAAATTAAAACTAAGGTAAAAGCAATGCATACAGGGAATGAATAATTTCATTTAAAATGTACACTTTCATCCATAAAAACATATTCCATAATTTCTAAAATTTCACTAAGTAAGTGTGTGACTGTCAGCTAAATATATCCTCAAAGGAAGTGCAAATAGGTAGCTTTTTGTTAGATTTTTTTCTTCCAATATTTTTCTTTCAGGCTCCCATGATGTGAACTTTTCTATTTAGCAGGTGAAAGGGTCAGACTGAGACAGTCAACAGTCCACAGTCGCAGCCCAGCTCACGTCATCAGCCATGACACTAATCGACTCTTCTACACGTCAAAATGTTAAAATATATTGCTTCAATTTAATCTGGGGATGGTTGTTACTGATAAAAATGGGTACCCTTAACACCAATATTGATAAGGGTTTTGGGGAATGAAATGCAGGGAGGTCTAGTGAGCAAACAGCACTATTGTAATCTGGTCATTAGCATTATGTGTTATCGTGTAATTCAACCATATTGAAAATAACGTGAATCTAAATGAATAAAATGTTATATCAACAAGGATTTGCCACAGCATGGCGGATTATACTGCCTTACAGCATATTATCAAGACTGTTCATCAAAAGTCTGATAAATCTCCAGAAAATCAGCCACAGACGCTGGTAGACTTATGCTTTGATAGTTTTAGCGCCTCGACAAAAGCATTTTACACAGCGTTTACTCAAGCAGAAGCCTGAACACAAACACACCAACAACAAATTATTCTAAACCATTTGGCACTGAAAGGAACACAAGGGACCCTTAAAAGTTGGTCACAATAAAGGTCTCCACAAATGTGGCTTCCTGTATAACCAGCCTGCCTCTGCAGTCACCAGTCACCAAACAGTTAATGCAATGTTTGTGAAGAAATATTTGACAAATTTTCAAACAAGTATTCCATTTACCTAAGACAAGGGAGACCTGGTTGGAGAAAAGACAACCAATCAAATTGTAACCCTGTTCAAACTCTGTCTGTATTTTTAATATTTCACCCTAATCCTGTGATGGTTTTCCACTGTAAGAAGAGAAGCCTCAGCAAACAGCCTTATGTGTGACATGTTTGCTTATTCCCTGGGGTGAAGATTTGGGCAGGGAAAAAGTATTGGTTACCTGTTCTTCTTTACATCTTCAGTTTGTTGGATATATTGAGGGATCTTGTGCACATTTAGGAGACAAATAAAATTGTTTATATCTTAAAGGTTAAAAACACATATCTGTGATAAAAATATTATAAAAAAATTATTTCGTGAATTGAAAGTGCCTTATAAAAATATCTTGTGGGTAAAACGGACTTGATTTTCCTTTCACATGTTTAATTGAAACTCTGATTTTGTATATTTATATTTTTCTTTTGTATTTTATATTCAACTTGTGACTGCCATTAATAGCACCTTAAGTGGTAATATGTTAATTGCTATTCCGAATTAAACAAAATACATATGTAAAATGAAAACAAAGTAACCAGACTTTTTAATGCACTGAAAAATCTATAAAATTTTCCTTTGCTGTACTTTCAGTCGGATTAGAAATCCTCATCTTTTTACCCTCATTCAATGGGGAAGATCTTATCATTTCACTGTGGGGAAATCCCAAGCGCGAGTGCCGCTCAGTGTTTACAAGCGAGATAAATATTTCACCTAAACTCGATTAGCGCCAGGTAAACTTGGTCAAAGAGGCCAGGAATCAAACATGCATTATCAAGTAATACGATTTCGATCGCTGCGATATAGTTACCAACAGTAGTGGTAGTGACAGTTTCTTTTAACCTTTAAACTACATTCATACTGCGACAAAATGGGTCAAAACTCGCACTGCTTTTCTAGTACATTTCATGACTGACAATCTGAGAGAACGATCAAACAACTCCAACATACCTGTCATCATACGCAAAATCTGCGTCGAATGTGTTCAGGTACAGCAGCAAAGCCACTGCACATGGTAAAGCCAATTTCTTCTCCATCCTACCATTCTCGGCACTTTTCCAGTCAGTCCATCTCCAACGTGCCTGCTCAATGAATGACCTACTACGCAGCCTCATACATGTTTTCATATGTAAATCCGGGCACTTGCAATCAATTACGCGTGCGCTGTCTCGGCGTGGATTTGTTTACATTCGGCTTTTGTCATGCTGAAGAAAATAAACTCCTCGCGCTAATAGCCTTGAAATTAGCTCTGTTGTAACTGTCGATATTTGACTACCACTGGCTTTATGAAGACGTTTGTGCAATATTTATTGACCACTCCACCATACAAGGTTTCCCGTCAGTCGATTTTTGTGAGTTTGTTAGTTGAGTTAACAGACGCACCTTAGTCGGTCACCGCTCTCTTGGAAATGACCCAAAATATGCGCCTTATCGTCAACTGGCCTACAGTGGAAGTAAAACAGTTTATACAAATTATTTCATTAATTAAGCGATAAATAAAATATTTTATCAACAAACAAATAAAAATATAATAAAACAATTTGCGAGGTTCACCGATCCATTAGCTTTCATTTTTCAATTATGAAAAAAAAGCATGGGTGTTATAACGAAATAAAGGGAAAAACAATTTAAAGTAGTCTCCATGGATCAAGTGAAACATACATTTAAATAATTTAAAAAATATACGAACGAACATGCTTATCTGACTGATTTTTAAACTCATGATTCTTATAAAAAATCAAAGTAGCTATAAAGCCGATGAAAAAGGACACCTTGTTGATGTTAAAATGCCGTAAGCAAGGGTCCTGTTATTGTCAGTTTCTTTGACTCTTGACTGCATTTGTCCTCCAGTTTCTTCGAGGTAAAATTGAACATAAAAGAAACTAGCTGGTGGCCGTTGGTACAGTGCTATTTGCCGCGCTTGACTGTTTCACTTGTGCCTCAAGAAGTGGAGTAATTCATTTATAAATGCCCATCCCCGCAGGTAAAGGTTTAAGTTCCCCGGCAAGCGTTTATTGTGGGACTTACGACGGTTATTTTTTGGCACATTCGTTCCGCTCCGCCTCCCTCATACTCAAGGTGTCAACAGACTGTGGACTGATTGGTGAAAATAGAGACGGGCTATTATTGCCATTATCTTCACAGCCACAAGCTATGCCCACCAATCATTTTTATTGTTCAAATACAAAGCTCGGTGAGATATGACTCGTCAACAGAAGGACGTGATTACATTTATTTCTGGGGGGAAATAGTTTTAATGAAACTTAAGAAACCATCCTCTCCGCATTTGTTATATCAAGTCGGCGACGACGCAAAAATCTTACCTTTGCGTTCGCTGAATATTTCACGAATAAAATGTATCTCAAACTACCGCTTGATACCATCATTTATCTTTTTTTCATATTCAGCCCTATGTGATGCACCTCAATAACTCGCCGTATGCGGTATATGCAGTTTTATGTCGCATATTTTTTCTTTCGTGATGCCAAAGTTTCTAAACGAATCGCTCTTCGTTTGTTTCATTTATTACTCGCAACAGCGTAATAATCGCGAAACAGGCGAAAGAAAAATAACACAAACGACGTGAGAAAAGATCAGAAGTCGCCGTCATTGCCAATTTTTGAAGCTTCAACAAGACCCTAAATTGTTTGGAGATGATTAACAGGCCATCAGGCAGAAGTTAACGATTTATTTCCAAAAGAAACATGGTAGATGCATCCAGCTGAAAAGCATGTTAATCCATGTGCAAAACAAAATCAGTAAGGGTAAACAGAAGTAGTGACCAAGAAGCTTCAAGCACCTAATTTGTGCACGCAAACAGAACTCTTGTAGATAACGTCTGGGAAAGAGTTAGTCGCTACTACAGGCTTCGAAGAATTTCTACTAGACACCGCTCATTTCTGACCAAATTCTTGAAAATTGTCTACGGATGTCCTCTTCTGAGAATGAAATTAATTTTAGATAGATCGAAACAAAGAGAATACGAGCAATTCAACAAATGTGTCCCAATGTTATTGTCATTTCTAAATTGTATTAGGTACATATTTTCTTTGCCTTAGGTTTGACAAAGCGAGATAACGGGAAATGGTTTCGATCTCATTGTCAAATTGCGCGCAAAGACTTATATCAGAGACTTTTAATTTCGAAAACTCCACAAAATTTCCATCTCCCGTGATCTGCCTCGTCACCGAATGCCGCCTCCCACAAAGTATCTAGAAATAAAAGAACCTTTTGTAAACAAATGATAAAATGAAATTTCACATAAAAAGCACATTCTGTAAATAAGCCTGAAGAAACACAAAATAACGTAAACGGTTAACAAAAGGTATATCCCTAATTTCGCTGAAGAAGAAAAGGGGCGGCTGAGACGATATCACGATAGATCCTGTCTAAAGAATGCACATTATCCTAAACGCAAGCCCAAAATGATCTCCGTTGCTCTACGTAGTACATTTCCATTCTCTTTAATAGACAGAGAGCATCCTATTAAAACTATCACTTTCCCCATCCCATTAAAACATAGGGAAGGAAACTTAAATTGCCATTATCTTAACAAAGGCATCTCTTTATATCCGACTAAAAGTGACAAAAGATAAAAAGTGGCAGATACTTTAACGGTATTTCGATTTGTGTTTTAACACAAGACTGCCGAAGCGAACTCGGCTGGAAACTCCGGGAGTCCAAATGCATGTCAAATTAAAAAAGTAAAACGCAGGTAAATCATCAGTCTGGCGCCCAAAGAAGACTTTAAAGTCCGTAGTATTGTAAAGAACTAATAATGTTTATTACTTATCCCAGTCTACGGTCTTCGATTTTTTAAACTACTTGGCAGCCTATTACCCCCGTCGGGAAAATATTTTTTTCTATTATGAAATCTTAACGTTTTTGATCTTTTTGAAGATCCGACTTTTAAGAATTATATTTCTAAATAAAAGCACTGCATCAGCCACAAACCCTGTCTCTTCAAAGAACTCCGCTCAAATATAAAAAAATGTGCCTCATAATTATTTCCTCATAAAATGGATAATTCACGTAAAATAGATTTTTTGCGAACAATACCTAGTATGGATTATTTGAAACCCAAACGATATTCAGGTAAACTCCATCTTAAATACATAAATAAAACAGTAAAAATCTTTCCCCAAAATGATCAAATTGCCAGGAAAACGCCGATTAGATTTTATTTCATTTTGACTTTAATCTTTTAACAGTAGAACATACGCTTGCATTGCTGCAGTTACAGGACATTCTTCCCCATTTTACTTGGCCTAAAAATAGGGGGATTAAAGATTTTTTGCACAGGAGAGTAAATTTCGCTCTCCGGTTAGATGGAATAATAACATAATGACATTAATAAGCTTTTTAACTCGTCAAAATCCCGAAGGACAGCTGGCAAGAATGGATTTTTTACACTGATAAAAATCCACAAATTATCCAAACAGTCAGAAAATGATCGATTTTACCGCTGAGAGATGGGTGCAAAACTCCCAAATTTTGGCGATGAAGCAAGAAGAATTAACTAAACAAATTTTATTTTTAAAATTGTAAGGTTAAAATTTAAAGAGCTAGCATAATGCTTCATAAATATATTGCATATATATTATAATTGGCAATATTCTGCACTGTGAGTGTCTGAACCAATTTAAATACCTGCTTTTTGAAAAAGTTCTACCGATAAGGCTGTGTCTAGACACATCAATTTGGCAGCATGGTAAATACTGTCCAGGAAAACTGGCTTTTAACATGTCAAATATCAAAATAAATTAGTAATTGGTAGCAAATAAGTATATATCACAGGCCTGGCAGGTTCCAGTTTTGAGCACATGGGAAAATATAGGTGAAAAGTTATTTATTCATATTTCCATTATGATCTAAATTTGGTTTCAAGTCAAGGATTTAATAAAATTGCACAGCTGAATAATTGAAGGTGGTGTCAGTATTCCTCCACAGCTGCTTCAGTCAAAGTAATCTTCAATGTCAATATCTGGGCTTAACAGATCCTCTCCATATTGACTGAGATCCATCTGGTTGAGAATGAGGTTTTCAAAAGTTTCTTCCAAATCGGTCTCCCCTATCAATATGGCACCTTGCATCCTTCCGTCCTTCATAACTGTCTTCACATACTCATGCCCTAGAAAAATAATTGAATACAGTTAGATCAATGAGAACTGAAAGAAGAAACATAAAAATCGTGTAGTTTTTTTTTTAATTGACATGTTTCATAAAAGGGCATGGAATATTTACAAATAAAATTGTCATTACAGTGTTAGGACTAACAACTATCATACATCAGAAATACATAAATTTATTTGTAAAGGAAATAAATATTTTAAAATGTTCAAACTGGAATAACAGAGAAATTGACAGAAGAAACTTTTATGCAGGGATATCTTCCAATATTTACAAATGGCTTATGGATTATTTGAACAGACAGCAACACGCTATGCAGTGTTCCATAATCTTGATGGTGTTTTACAACAGCAAGCAGACGTTAGTCAATTTGGCAAACATGATTAGGCATTGGTAGCGTGTCTAATATCTACTTGAGTTATCATTTTAATCATTCCTTGGCATGCCACTGAACCGATAACTTGAGGTTAAATCCAACCAAAGTAGTTTTGCTCCAAACAATCGTGATCTCCAATCTCGGGTTTGGCCAGGGGTAACCAAAGCAAAACAGGACACAATTCCCCTTCAGACAATATTTCTTTCAAATGTTAAGCGTGCTTGTGCATTACAGGATCTTGTTGTAAAACCTACTCATATTTGCATTTTACAAAGTTTTACTAGTTTCACACAAATTATAAGTTATTCAAAATGTGATTTATTTTGTAACAAATCAAGGTTACTTGCCCAAAGTGTGAACACTAGGAAGCCATAATGGTTACTTTCTTAATTTCATATAAAGCATTTATCACTATCAATTCATTACCTATTATTATTATTATTATTATTATTATTATTATCAATTCATAAGAAATAAAAGTTTCTATTTCATATCAAAACCACAAGAATATAATATAATGCATGATTATGCATTAGATCTAAATTATATTATTAAGTACCCTTATTGATTTTTTCTCTATGCATCAGATGCTATGTACAGTAACCAAAATACAGTCAATACAATTCACAAACTAACATTTGTAAGTATCTGTTTTTATTAGATATCAGACGCTATCGTTAAGTACAATGTTTGTGCTCCAGCCAAAAAATCTGAAAATAAAGTGTCAGTGGAAGGGGAAGTTGATGGGGTGTGTGAATATCCCAGGACAGAAGTATATCAAAACAACTGAAGATAAAACATAAAAAACACAACAATAGAGATGATTGATGATTTAAAAAAGTGTCAGCTTATATCACTAAGACATAAAAGGCAAAACTCTGATGTAAGCAAGTCAATCAAAAGATGCCAAGACAATAATTTTTTTTGGTTAAGGAATGGTTTTCGAAATCAACGTAAGCCCGTCTGCACAGATAATTATTAATACACACTAAAAATATAAAATAAACAAAATCCAATTATACCTCCTTTCCCATATTCTTTTCCTTATCTTACAATATATATTTGAGAATATTAACTGATGGAAAAAAGAAATGTCCTTATCATCACCATTGTCACTATTGAATTGATTATAAATAGCCATTCAGTGAGAGGCCAATAATAAAAGTTAGGACAAAGGGAAAAGTTTGAAATGACACCTTCTTTCAAATAATGGTGACACAACAGAGTGGTTACAAAGAGCTTGCATTGATTTCATGTGGGTAGAAAGAGATACAGTCAAGCTCATATCTTTAATATTTTGAAACAGTTTTAATTTGAAGAAGCCTGAATTAATGTTATCAATTAAATGGAAAGAAAGAGGTCTTGAAATAGTGCATACAAGGACTGGATGTATTTGCACTGTGTAAAGATACAGTCATGCATTACACAATGGCCATGGTTAAACTTGGTAAATATGTATTTATCCTGCAAAATGTTTGTCCATTTTCCATACCTCAGATTGCACCACATTTGGCTGTCACCTTGATTGATGTACAAAACCATTATCATGTAACATAAATTTTGCCACTCAAGATTTCCATATTAAGTAGTACATAGTTGTTTTTATGAAACTGATTCAAATACACTTTATCAATTTTTATCATTCAGTTTTGCACTGTGGTAGCCAAGTGTGGCATAACACAGATGACATATCAAAGTCAAATACTTGTTATCAATACCAAGAGATAAACTGTCATGTAAAAAAAACCCTGCCCCTATAATTTCACATGTACCGAAGTCTGCATATTTTCAATGTCAGGTCATCTTTAGGAAAAATAAAAATTATCCTTGACATCCAAACTTTTATTGTCACCACTGGCCTGTCAGTGCTGCCACAGTGTCAAAATGAGGAACTATTTATTAAGCTTCCTGCATCTCAAAACTGCCAGGGCCACAATGAAAAGATCAGATGATGAAAAAAAAATACTTTTAATTCCCTGACAAAAGCAATTTGAATGCAGTGTCACTGAAATTTGTGAAATTATATAAAGTGTCCCTTTTTTATAGATTTAAAAACCAAAATAAAAGCTACCTTTGTAGAAATGCAGTATTTTTTAAATGTATACAAGAGTACTTCATCAAAATAATTACGATTCAATATCATAATAACATTAGTAGCAGTGTAATGAAATGAAGCAGAACTTGTATCACATGGAAAAAAATATTGATTTACTTTATTCAAAAATGGAAAAGCAATATTATTACATTATGTAGTATATAAAATAACAAGGTCCTATTCATAAACTTCAAAAGTTTAATTTGGAAAAAATTCTGGAAATATTTAATTTTTTTCTCATGAGCAACATTTTAAACTATTGTTATCAAAGGGGTGGCCCTGCTCTTTGAACTTGGATGCTTCTTGATTTCAAGGATGTTTATAAACTTTTCCAGATCTTTCAGTACTAGAAGGTGCTAATGATCTTCATGAAAATGATAGGTTTTTAAGCTAAACCTAATTGTTGTTAATTTCTTCTTAGAACAAAGAGTACACGAGAAGGCCCCAGAGTAAACAAACCACTCTCACATATTCAGACAATCTTGTTAAATCTTAGAAGTTTCACCAATCACATTTCTTCCTTTAACAATTCCAAACAAAGGTGTATCTTATTTTTTTCGTTTTTTTTTTTTTATTTGTTCCCTTTCCTGAACCTTAAAATTGTCACCAGTGATAGAATTTGCATAATCTAAAAACATCCATGTCTACCCCATTAAACAGGTATTTACTTGTCTCTAAGGCTCACCTCTCAGTCTTAGTTATCAAAATTTGTCTGAAACCTACATATTAGTCACTAAGTGTTCATTTCAGATTAAAAATATTCCCTAAAAATCAATTTCAATCTTTTAATGCCGAGTATGAAATAAAAGGAAAATAAAAAGGAATTTTAGGTGGATTTAATCTATATTTCTAGCTCTGTTTAATATCTTTAGTTAAATCATGTTGCACTTTATAAAATACCAGCTATAATATGTGCCAGTTGGAATTTCATAAATAATTTACAAGTTCACCCACCTTTTGTTACTCTGAGCAGTAACTCATAATCATCTCCCAGACCTTGGGCATTGAACCTTCCCAGCAAAATTACCTGTAACAGAACATGTGCTCATTACATAGGAATGTGTCAAGAACCATTCCTACACAGATGGTGTACACCCCAGAACACAATGATGAATTGGTGTCATAATTTGTTGATTATTGCTTACTTGAAAAGAGAATTAAAAGCTTTATACCTTATACGTGTGAATGTGAATTTTTTTATGGTTTAAAATTGGAATAATCTTGATATAACCTTAAAATTGTTGAGGTTACTTTGCCCTGGGTAAGACATCTATGTTGAGCATATTTTTTGGTAAGTCTGTTTTTTTCCCCAAAACAAATTCTAAAAACATCCATGAGAAGGCCAAAAGCACTCTAACTAATTTCAGATCTCGCTTTGGTATTTGATATAAAAACAGGCAGTTGGTCCATTTAAAGAAAAGAGCAAAAACACATTTGGTGTCAGCTGAATCCAGTCCATGCAGGGCTATAAACAAACTGTAAATTAAATTTCAAACAAGAACTGGTCTGCCAGGTCAAGGGTGGGGCTTGTGTTGAAAGAAGGCTGTTGACTGTATTCTGGTGATTTCTTTTCATTCCATGCATTATACATATGACATGTTACAGTAATTTTCATATGTACTGCTTTAAATTTTCTGGAGCAACAAAACTTTCTCAAAGATTGAAAAAACATAACCAAAAACATTTATGGTAACAGTAACGTTACATCCATTGCTCTGTATCATGGTTTCTCTCAAATAACTAGATACATAACTNCGTGATAAGGAGAACAAGCCCGGTAAAGCTGAAATATGGACAGATAACATTTGATAGCGTTATTCTTAAGAGTGACAAAATAATACCCCAAACTTGTATAGTAAATGCTGGGTTAAAATGATTGAAAGCATTGTTGGCTGTATCTCGGTCCAATGGATCGTCCATGCAAGTTTAAGAATTATAAGTAACACAGTTTTTCTTTTAAGGTGTTTATGATGAAATTGCACAAAATAGAATTTTATGTAATATAACATAATGCCAAACAGTGCAATCAATATCATTTCTAATTATGTACTACTGTTACTGTGGGCACTCAGAAATTGTATCTAGTACAGGGCTTTAGACTCATGCAAGTTAAAAAGTCACACCTAAAAAATGCCAATGTGTAAAAAGAGAAAAATTCACAGAAACCTTACTTTCAGGAAAATTAATCTAATCTGGTTCAAAAATGAGCCGTATTTTACTGCTAAGAATCATTTTTGTAAGTTTGAGAAGATGAAGTAACATGAATTTCTTATTATAGTGCTTACAAGGGAAAGTGTGCAGCAATGGCACTGCTTATTGGTGATGACAAATGCTATAAAAATGTCCATAAAATAATTTTAGATGTTCTTCTCGCTGCAAATGAAAATGCATGGAATGAAACTTTCTTGCAAACAGTCAACATATCCACACCGTGAACACATTGATGCATTTATTTAATCAACTGATGTGATCTCACAATATTCAAATTTATTTCCATTTTTAAATTTTGCAAGATTGCTGCTTATGTTTTCAACTATTTTCTCTTTATTTTTTTTCCACCATAGGTACTTTTTACTGCAATTGGCCCATTGAAAAAAATGACTGTTGCATGTGCCCAGCCGCAACACACTAAGACAAACATAGGCCAAACATAATAAAAATAACAGCAAGGATACAACAAACCTTTTTATAAGTAAACTTAAAATTGGTTTATTTCATTCTCACTTCTATCTACAAACAATTTATTCAGTGGATCTTACCTTGTAGTTAAAAAACTTCGTTACATGGGTAAATAATTCAAAGCAGAAGTCCATGTGTATCTCTTCTTCCTTTGCATGTGCTTCCATACACTTGGCTGCATAGGCGCCCATCTGGCGTGCCTGAGACCACAATCTCATCTGAAACATGACAATGCTTTTGCAACTTTTTATATAATGCACTGATTTTGCTTGTCTCACTGGGCCCAGAACCATCATGATGACAAATGGTGTCATTGAAGTTTATCTGATGCAGATTCAATTATAAAAACAGATTTTCATTATGAAGAAAGAAATGGCCATGACTCCAAAAAAAAAAAGAAAAAAAAAATGCTTATATCTGAATTTCAAGTAAAAAATTTTCATGATTCTAATTTAGACATCTGAAAAAGTCCACACCAGAAATGTTTTTGTTGAGTGTCAAGTTATTCCTTTTCAAATGAGAATTGAAATTGAACAGGCACAGGCTAGTTGGCTATTTTTGACAAAAATGTTCTATTTTCACATAGACTTTTTTGTAGGCATCCTTTATAAAACGGAACTGAAACTCAGAAATAAAGTATATTGTTGTTAGAAAATAATAAATTACTACAAAACTATGTAAGTTATTATCAAACCATTCTGTTTTATACTAAATCATTCTGGACTGACACTTTTTGATAAAATGAAAATTTCAGGCAAAGTAATCAAAAAAATTATTTCATAAGGGAAAAAATATTAGCAGCAAATAATCCATGAAACTGATTGCCACATCAACATAACCTGATACATTCATTCAAGTTTTCAAGATATTTTTGTCCAAATTAGTTGTTCCGAGTAAAGTTCATTGCCATTTTTTGAAGATCTAACTGCATATTGTTTTTCACAACTATATTTATGTCACATAAAGGCCAACAGTCATAAATTATATTTTAGTGAAAATATGAAGAAGGAAAATAATTACTAAAATCTACATGTTGTGAGTAACCTACCATGCCAGCCTATGAAATTGCCTCTCAAAAGAAAATGAAAGAAATTAATTTTCAAAAGAAAACAAATATTAAAATGTACATGTTGGGAGTAGCCTATGGCGTTGTCCTCTGAAACTGCTTCTCTAAACCAGCCAGTTATCTCACCTGTAGCCAATGAGGTGCAGGTTCCCATGATGCACTGCACACATCGCCTGCTGCATACACATCCTGCAAACTGGTCATCATATGGTCATTGACTGAGAGACCACCATCGGAGGCAATAACAAACTGAAATACAAATGAAACCATCTGGGAAAATGGCAAACTTAGAGCATAAATACTGTTGAAAAAAAAATGGACAGACTGCAAATAAATATTGCAAATAATGCAAATATTCATACTGACAATGACAAATGAGTGCTCTGCATCAAGAAAACTAAAAAAAAAAATGCAAATGATATCACATATGATTTTCAAAATCTAACACAAGGAAACTTGTTCAGATACATAAAGTTACATTGTAGTAAACAAACCTGTTTGTTTTTGTTGAGGGGGTACACATTTGGTATTACGCCAGTAGCACTGACCACAAAATCACAGCCATAAATATGACCATTTGTTAGTTCCACATATATGGGCCACGAAGCTGGTAAAAAAATGTTTATTACAAGTATTTAAAACTGAAAAATGTACGTTACCAAAAACAATGAATAATTATGATATACAGTTATCAACATTTTCCTATTATTAGAAAAGACAAGTCTTTTAACTCACTTGGAAAGTCTCCTTTGAAGTTCAAAGAAAAGAAAAGAACAAACAAAACAGAAAGCAAGACTGGTACATTTTACATAATACTTCCCTACACTTACCTTCACCACTTAAACCAGTCTCATCATTTTTGGGGGATTTTTTGGCTTGCTTTCCACTTGACTTCATCTCTTCTTGACTTAACAGCCTAGATACTTCAACTTTATATTCTACATGTATGCTGCGGCCCTCCTGGCATACATAAATTTACATTTTATAATAATATATTCTTTGGTGAAAAACAATTACTCTAACAATCAAGCATCAACAAACAATATTAACCATTAAAGATTCATTTCTTAGTAGGTGCATATACAGAAAAGTCAACAATAAAAAGACAGTTATTTAGAAAAAAAACCCTTTTTTTAATTTACCCATTACTAATTCAACAAAAAAAGCTTGTGTTTTAAGCACATTTATCAATCCCTTAAAAGATGACAATAACTAAGCCAAATTAAGCTTAATTTTGTAGTGTTTTTTAAGCACATATCAATCCCTCACAAGAAAACAATAATGTTTGTTAGTGTTTTTAAGCACGGCATCAGAGCTAAAACATGCAGTGCTAACTCACCCCATACTGACCCTGCATTTCCCTGCCTTCAGTCCAGTCTGGACCCAAGGCACCTCCTAACAGATCTGGGGTCAGTCGAGAGATCATGGGCTCTAAAAATAGATTGTGTTTCATTTTATTTGTACTGATAAATACAATATTTTTTCTACTATTTCTGAAAAATCAGTAATGCAGTTGAGATAAGAATGTATGAATTCTACTGATTCACAAATGCTTATCAAATCATTCTTTTATGAAAATTACTTACTTTCCAATGTATACTTCATTCTTTTGGAAACACTTTCATCTTTCATTTCTGCTGGAGAGGATAAACTAGAGAGAAAGAACTCAGCAGCTCCTGCATCTACGAAGGTCTTGGTAATAGAAGCATCCTTGATGGCCCATACCACCTCACAATTTTTAATTTGGTATCTGGAAACAAATATATGGATTAATTCTACTGTAAAGTAAATGGAAAAGGGATGATGGCCAACTACCACAGACTACTTGAATTCATGTTTTGACAAAAGTCTTCATGATCTTAACTAATCTATCATTTCAGAACTTTCAAGGCATTAAATTAAACTTAAGTGAGCAATGCCAACTAGACAGAAAGACTGGTGCATATACAGATATTAAACAAAAAAGTCACAAATAGAAACAGTTATTTGGAAGAGAACATTTTTTAATTTATGTAGCCAATTATTAATTCAACACTAAGGTAAAATCCATCTGTAAATATTGGCATATGTCTCATAAAGTAAAAATACAGAACTACAGTTTGGCATTGAGAGTGTATCATGTTCAGACACATATGCAATGTATAAGTTAAATGAAAGCATGGAAACCTTGGTAAAAATAATCTTATTATGCCAATTTTCCAACTGACTTGGATTCTGTATCATGCAAAATTTAAAAATGTAATTTGGCATTTGCATCAACTGCAGCAACAGATGCAGATGATAAGAATGTTTGTAGAAACTGTAAACAACATCACTCCGAGATTTGTATAGGAACAAATATATTTTATGTGTCTTACATCTAAATATTTCAGCAGTGCTCATACATTTGACTTACACAAGTTCTGTAGCAATTCCACCATTTCCAACAATAACAACCCTTCTTGCACTAGAAAGTCTTTCCTGAAACTCCTTTAACAAAGAATTCAACATTTTGAATATGCTATTAATTCAACAATTTTTCAACATTTGCCACATAATCTGCAGCAGTGACTAACCTTATAACAAAATGAAATACATTAAAATTGGACTTTCACTAGATTTAAACAAAGCACCATAACCTTAATTTTTGAGCATTTTTTTATGCTTAGATGTGACCAACAGGTGATTACATTTGTGATAAAGGTATCTGACCTGTACACTTTCTGTATCTCTGATTCCAAGTACATGTTTGTTCCCTTCCATCAATACCTGAAAATAAAGCACAGCAGATTCAAAATCTGGGATATTTATGTATTGAACAGTAATGAATTGTGGTAGTTGTGACTGATGTTATCAGTGATTGCATTTTCTGGCAGTGGAAACTTTGTAATTTAGTTCGCTTAACATCTATATAAAATCATTTACATTATACAGCTATTAAGGAATGCTTTCTTTTAGTAAAATACAAGTTTATTTTTAAAGTAAAATGTAAAGCAAAAGATATATTATCAATTAACATAAAAATCCTGATTTCTGCAATATACATTACTACATAGTGTACCTTTGGTTTCCCTCCAGTACATATGCAGAGTTTCCCATATCTATACCATTTTTCATCCACTGTAAGCAATTTCTGTAATAAAATTAATAGTAACATATACTTAAAGATTATATACTGCATAATTCAAAGCAATATTTCTATTACTTAAAACAAATGGTAAAAAGTAAATGAAATATAAAAGAAGTCCACTATTATTTTTATGAAGTACAAACCCCTACTGTCAATGTAAAAAGTTATCACTTACATGTTCTTCGTGGTCCATTTCTTTAACAGCAGTGTTTAGAACATGGATGTTTGGACAATCCAACTGTAACACAGACAACGGTTTTTCCACCACATCAAACTGCTGCAGTGTCCTGCCATACTGTAGAACAATGGGAAGAAAATTTTTCATAGTCAAAGAGTGTTGATGATTAGGTCTTATAAAAATCCTTTAAAACTTATACATGTATGTTAGAAAGTGTCCATTTATCGCTAAGCAAAATTTCTGTCACATTTAAAAAGATGTAAAGGGTGCATATCACAATCTACAAAATGCTGGGAAGCAAAAAATTATCTAAAAGAGCACACTTTTATATCAAAACAAACTCTATATAGCACACTTAAAAAAAATTATGATCACATACCTGTCTTAGATTTGACACTGCTTTAATGAGAGGGGAGGCACTTATAAGCAGGATTTTCTCTTCTGGACAAAGCAGTGAAAGCTAGAATGAAAACCATAATAATTGAAATATGGGTGCATGTGATTTATGTTTTTGAAAGAATTAGCTATATAATATTATACAGGTTTTATAACATTATCTTCATATAAATCCCACTCGCAGTCACTGTGAAGATGCTTTAACATGTTTAGGGAAACTTAAAAAGTCTCCTTTAGAAATGTGTATATGAAACTGAAATTAATACAAGTTCTTTTTTTTTCATCTAAACTTCAATTTATTTGTTGTCAGAACAGTGAAATATTGCAGAAGAAGGATGCCAATTGTTTAATTTTGTAGTGAAAGAGTGTGATGACGGAGTATGAGCAAAAAGCAAATATGAAAATCTAAATCCTGTGCAATAAGACATGGGTTTATTGAGATTTATAGTTTCAAACGTATAAATATTGCTTTCTGTGACAATCAATTGTTTTAAAACGTACCGTTTCTGCACATGTTACACCTGCAATACCACCACCCACAACTATGAATGGATAATATTCACACTGAAGCTGTTCACCAGACATTCTCTTCCTGGCTAATGTTGTCAGATACTCATGTTCACTCTGATATCTTGATGTTGGTGGTGACAGTTGATACTCTCAATGTTGCAGTGTGTAAGTTCTGGTTATTTGAAAAAAACATTACACTGGTTTTTCAAATGAATACAGCAGGATAATCATACTATACTTGCCTCAGTTGCCTTACATGTACTGTAGTATGTAAGGCTGAAAACTGAGGTAATCACACTACATGCATTGTGAAATTACAATATATCCAAATAAGAGTCTGAATTGTTACTGTCGTCATTGAGCATAATGTTTTCAGTGGGAAGGTACCCACTGAGGCTTAGGGAATTTATCTTGTAAGTATAGAGGATATAACAGTTACACCAACATATAACATAATTTTAAAATAATCAAACCAAAAAACTTATCAGCATCTATTATCACTTTCCTGGGGTGGTGCTAATACTTGCCAATCTTGAAAATTTTAAAACAGATTTAAATTGCCTGGCTGAAAGAAAATAGGGTTGATGTGGGGAGATCCAGAGATATTTTCCTACAGTCTTTCAAACTATCTTTGTTGAACCATTTCTATTTTGACCATCTTCTGACAGAAAAAATTAGAGGCCAGTCAATGCAAACACAAAAAAAATCTGTCTTTTGAAAGGCCCAGAAGATGACTTCCATCTGCCCCTGGTTGATTTGACTTTTTTTAGTCATAAGGGAGAAAAAGGGAATGTAAAAGTAGTGATTTGGCTAAGGGCCCCTTTACACTGGACGGCGTCCTTTCTGCGTTCAAAAATGTGGTCAGGACGCTCAACCGTCGCCAAAGCAATTAAATCGTGTCTCAGTGTAAAGGCGTCTGCGTCCCTTGTGCGTCCTTTGAACGACCGAATCTTGATTTTACCTGTAAAACCTGCCTGCCTCCACTGTACGTCCCCTGTGCAACCCAAGGCGTCCATTGCGATGTTTGAGCGACCATTGAGCATTATTGCTGCGTTCTCTGTACCTTCATTGGCGATCAGTGGCGTCTATTCTACGATCATTCTGCATCCTGCTTGACCGATGAGCGTTGTTTGGGCGTCCTTCTCTATATATTCTAACTCATATTTTTTCATCAGTTCTAACCAGGTCATCCAATAAAGAACATTATCAGCACACAAAACAAATAAATGGGAATAAATGCTTTAAACTATAGTGATGCAAGGTCTGCATGTACTGATAATCAGCCAGATGCTCATTGTTATCCTTATAAGAAGGATGGACAGGCGCCGAAAACGAGTATGACTGACACAACATAGAATAGAATGTTTGAATCCGTTTTCAAATGACGCATTCTGCAAAAAGTTCTGACAATTAAAATAGTAAAATAGGCAAAATATTTGTTTTATAATAACCTGGATTGTTTCATAATTTTTAGGGGAAAAAACAATCAGAGGCTAATATGAGACCACTGTTGCCCTTAGAATTCCTGTCTGGTGAAAAATACCTCAGCACGGCCCCGTTTAAGAGTGAAAGAAAATAATGTTCTACGTGCCGAACACTGGACGATCTTTGAGTTTTCATTCTGCAACCAAAGCGATGCTTGTGCCTCCTTTCTACGACCGCGGCGATGCTTTTGCGTCCTCTCTGCGACCACGGCGATGCTTGTGCGTTCTTTCTGCGTCCATTGAGCGACCATTCTCACAGCGTTCTCTCTGCGATTGTTCTGAACATGCTCAAAACTTCGCGGCGTCCTTGGCGATGCTTGAACGTTCTTTGTGCGACCTTGGTGATCACTGTGCGTTCTTTGAGTGTCCGACGGCGTCCTGGCCAGTTTCATGGTCGCACAAAGGACGCAGAAAGGACGCCGTCCAGTGTAAAGGGGGTTTAAGCAAACCCAACTTTCCACCACTATCCTTCAAGAGTTTCACAATCACAGGTAATTATCCTAGTCTAGAAAAGGCAGGAAGGCACCCCTGCTAAAAACCTGTACACAAGCCATTCGAGAACCACTTTAAAACAAACATAGCCCTAAACAACCTTTATCAACTCCCTTAGGTTTAGTGGGCACATAACCACTGAAGATAGCCTGCTGAGGACAGAAGGATACTGAAATTTGTCAATCAAACTTTGTGCCTGGCCAAGTTTAATTATCATGTTTTTACTAGTTACCAGTGTTTACCCGTGCGAAGCAAAATTTTCATTTTTTCACAATGGTACTACATTTCCTATGAGATTGTACTACATTCCCCGTGAGGTGGTGAATTTAGAATAAACCGCAACTCACATTTAACTAGGCGACTGCTGCATGTTCCATGTTTACAATGTTATCACAGGGGCCAAAAAATACTGTATAAGTATTTCAGAATATGCCTTCCATCTGATCTTAATGTAGAATAGAAATAAAATAAAAATGTATTTTAGTCTCATAATGGTAAAAATGCGTCCAAAAAATCATATTTCTAGGTAATTTTTAAGGTTTAGATACTGCTCCCTGTGTTCCGCCTCGCTCTCGTAGTATTGCTTCTTGCTCCCAGTTCGTCTCTGTGTCACTATCGTCATGGAATTATTTGATTGTTCTTAAACGAGGCTCTTCTTAGGAGAATGCGCAGCCGCATCTTTACCCCAACATCGTCAAAGATAGGGATAGATTGTTTGAAATCACGCCATGTAACACGCCATATAACATTACATATTTAAGCTGAAAGTGGTGCACCATATTCAGGTAAGTTACGAGTTCTACTGGTAATGGAATGGAGTCGACTATTTTTGATTAACAGAAAATAATGGCAATTTTTAGTGACAAAGATTGTCATCACGCATCAGCCGGTTGCTCAGCCTTCATCCGAGTTGCCAAGTTTTTATGCTCTGGCATGCGTATGGATGTCTACTGTTACTGAATGCAAGATACACGTAGGCTTACCATGAAAAAACAAGCCACTACATTAGTTTACCAAAATATAAAAAAATGACTACGTTCTACCATATAAAACACGTGTAACGCTTCGGAGATGTAACGATTTAGGATTGGGAGGGGGGGGGGGGGTGTTGCCTCATTTCCAGTCTTACATGCTACGCAGGTAAGGGCCTGCAACACCCTGTGTTACAAATTCTAGAGGCTATAAATACTAGTATGTAAACCCTGGGATAACTGTGTGTCCTTCATCACACCTGCGGCATGTGATTCATAAATATATAGTCATTTTGTATGGGTTCATGAACCAGTTTGATAACGTTTTACTCATGTTATTCCACCTACAGAGTAGTGTTAACACTCGTGCCTGCCTATTAAAAGTGTATTGTCACAAGAGCATGTTACAGAGGCTGGGGTAGCGCTAACACTCGCCAATTTAGCCAAATGCTAAAACTGACTGAAATTGGCTAAACAAAATAGGGTTGATTTGACTTATTCTAGTCAAATTTAAACCATTTGGACACAAAAAAGATGAAAAAGTAGTATTTTGGCTAAACGAAAAGAATTGCTAGCGCCACCCCAGAGAGGGTGTTACGAAGCCTTACTTGTGTAGCATGTAAGGCTGAAAGCTGAGGCTAGGAGGGTGTTAATGATGTGGAAATAACCCTTTGGGGTTTTATTAATAGGTCCAATAATTCTGGAGAAATTCAAGTTGAAGCAGGTGCTTTTACTGCCACCACTTAGTCAAGCCCACAGTCACATATAATGAGGACAGATTTTGAAACACAAATATATAGAGAATCTTAATAGATGGATGGTTTTGAAGTACTGGCATTGTACACCCAGGAAGTTCTTGTATTCTTTCACAAGTTTCAGATTCTAGCAGACTATTTTGTCAGGCTGTTGAGAATTTGTCTGGCTGTTTCAGCCTCTGACATTTGCTATTGCATCATAAATGTCTAGTGTGCCAACTGCAGACAGTGACTCTCTCATTTGGTTTCCAGACTCTCATATATGTGGTTTGGTGCAGTGAACAGGAAAATTGCTCATAGACTGAAAATAACTGAACCTCATTGTTGATGAAACTTTCTTGAAGAGTGGTGTGGCTTGTCTGAATGGGAAACTGTACCCATTGAGTTTTTTTTTTATAATGCCAAAAAATGTCCACCAAAATGTCTTCCATATACTACCTTGCATCTTTCAAGAAGCAAAGTTAATTACTAAAAACCTGAAGACTAAGACCCCATTCCCATAGATTTTAGATCGATCTATCCCTGTGGGGAGTCTCACTAGATTACTGTCAGCTTAGCCGGTTTAAGCATCTGTCTTGCCTACTAAAAGATGTAAGGGGATAATTAACTATGGTGCGTGCCCGGCTGGCTGCAATTTAGCGTGAACCCCCAGGGAGTTAGGTTGATCTAAATCTAAATCTCTGGATCGATCTAAATCTTTGGGAATGCACTCTTAGACAAATACTATAATAATTTGTTTTACAAATATATTTGTATAGGCATTATCTTTGATAATGTGAAAAAAATGTCTGTCCTGTATTATAGAGGCCACTGCTAGTTGATATTAGCAGTCTGCTTAATAAAATATGGACCTGGTATATTAGTAAGCAGTAAGGGACCCCTTATAAGTCCATATTTCAGTGAAGGCCTAACACTTGAAGAAAATGAGGGGCTGCCTTGTTGCTATGAGTGGAGGACATTTTATGAGCTGTAGTCAGGCTCTGTAAGTCAGCCCAGGTATGTTGCGTCCCTTGTAAAACTCCCGTACAGATATGATAACTTGGACCATCTATGTTGTTGCACAGTGCTATCAGATTTTTAGAGTTTATAAAAACTACCTGACTGGTATTGTGCACTTTAATTGGTATTAGTCATTTTTTAAAATAAAAATGATAGATTGCTGCAGGTGAAATTCTGTGGCTTTTATCTTATCACCATAGCAATGTCAAAGAAATATGTACAGTGCTAAGTTTAAAATACACAAGAGGGGGTCAATAATTCAGATCAAATACCAGTAGGTCAGGAACATTATTGGTTATCAGGTGCTAGACTTCAGACTGACACTTAATCCTTGATATAACACCTGCACTGGTACTTGTGTACTTCTAAAAAATGTAGTAAATGTTTTAAACAGGAGAAGAGATGCAGGTTGGACAGTTAATGTCCGTTCTCCTACCTAGGAAAATGATTTGTTGCCTTTTTGGAAAACAATGTAAATTTATGAATACATATATTTATATATATGTCTTGTTTTACATTAAAGTTAACAGTTTTAAGAATATTAGAAAGATAACTTGCTGTGAACATTGAAATTTATTTTGAAAAAACATATGACATTGTGACTGGATATGCTATATTTTCAGGGTGCTCTGTGAGGTCTGATGATGTGGGAGTCATTAAGTGACTATTTCAAGTCGACCAGGCAGTTCGTGTCCCGTGTGCTGTCCCTGGGGAGATCACCCACTGAGACAGTGGCAGAGAACATCCATGATGCCCTTGACTTATTACACAGAGATCTGCACAGGTGAGCTACTCGGTCACACATGGCACTTTAATTATGCCTCTAATCTTTTACTGTACTTAAATGATTTTTTCTGTTTGGAAAAAAGATGAGTTGTAAATGATTTTTTTGTTTGAAAAGCTTATGTAAATTTTATCAGTTTCTTATATGATGTAAAGATCGCAGCAAAAGTACTAATTTAGCTTCATAAAACATTCACAAAAAGTAGTAAGGTTAGGATATCTCTGTTTCAGATACCATATTTTGACAGATGAGACAGTGAAGAGTGTCATAGGTCTAGTTGAAGACTGTCCGGTCAGACAGAACATTTTGGACATCACAGACAGCGAGGGTTACAACATCTTCCAGCTGGCAGTGGTCGCCAATAGTGCCAACCTTGTGGACTACTTGCTAAGTCGAGGTTATTACCCAGATGCTGGCCGCTGCAGCCTCCCCCTCCACCTAGCCTGCCACCTTGGCCATACAGAGGTCACCAAGTTACTGCTCACCCATGGGGCTAAGGCAGGGCTGGAAGTTGGGATGTGTTACCCAAGGGTGCACAAGTGTGGCCAGTGGTCAGGATCCAAGTTCTTCTTCCTCAGTAAGTCAGCCCAGGAATGTTACATCCCTCCCAAGATGCCTGTACTGTATGCTGTGGAGAAGGATTATAAAGACGTGGTGAAGCTGATGTATACAAGCAGGAATGGTGAGGCAGCATGCTACAAGAAACTGAACTTGTTACACCATGCCTGTAGATATGGTGCCCTAGAGTGTGCCAAGTATTTCTCAGAGGAACTGCCTGATCAGCTGGATGTGGTGGAAGACTCTGGGGAGACCCCTGCCTCCCTGATTGTTCCCTGGGGTTATAAGCATACTAGCTTTATGGTGAAATCTGGTGCTGATATCACAAAGAGAACTGCATCTGGTCAGTCTTTACTCCATGCACTGTTCTTGCACTCAAAGAAACCATTTGAGATGTATGACACAACAAAATTATTGTTAGGGAGTGGACTGGAGCAGCTAGTCAATGTAACGGATAGTGCTGGTAATACTGCCTTGCACTATCTGGTGGAACATATCAACAGAGGTGTTGGGCGTGTCATCCCAGGCACAGGTGGCCTCCCCAAGTCAGACATTGTGGTACTTCAGAACCAGTACCAGGTAGAGGTACTGAGATGCTTGGATCTCATGTTCAGTCATAACTGTGATGCTGGTATTGTCAACAGCATGGGTATGTCTGCTGCTGATAAACTGATACTCACTTTCAGTGTTGTTACAAATAATAACCTTCTTTTGGAAGGGACGGTTCCAGAGCCTGATTTTGATATCTTATATGAAGCTTTAAGATACTTCACTCAGCATGCCATAACTAGTCAAGATTTTGTCTCTGTGGCTCTAGCAAGGATCATCCACTGTATAACCTGTACTGACATCAGCAGCATGCCCAGATATGCTGAGGGTTTCATGAAGTGCCTTGGCCTGTTGTGCCAGCATGGTGCCAACCCTAATATAATCCTACCTGATGCCAGCCCAGTGATGGCGATGCTGGGAGACATTGCCAGGAAATGCGTGTCAGTTCAAGATTCAGGTGACAGGGAAGGTGTTGTGATTCTGAAACAAACAACTGCTATATTCATCAGTGATTTGTTGGCTCTACTGCTTGCCCACCAGCTCAACCCAAACTATACAACCCATCGCAGGGACAGCCATGAGGAAAGCAGCATCAATGGCCTGTCTCAGTTCATCAAACTAGTGCCTTATATTAACGACCCAGAGGATCTTAAACTGCTGCACAGGTGGCTGCTCACCTTAATCCAGTATGGAGCTAACCCTGATATTGAGCCCTATCCCTCAGAGCCCATCATTTGCCACTCCCAGAGCTCCATCTATCTAAAGCATAACCACACTCAGGCTGTCAACCAGTATGTCCACCATATCCAAGATTTCAGCATCTTTTTCCAGGGCAGCCATGCAGAGGAGCTGCTGATGTTATTCTACAATACCATGGACCACAGTGCCTTGTATCAGTGCCTGAGCACAGCCCGCCTGATGTCGCGATTCGATCCTGATCACCTTCCCAGCCAGGACTTTATCCATATGCTTAACACACTCACCTCTAACCCCAGGACCTTGCAGCAGATGGCCAAAGTGGTTATTTACAAAGCTATTGACCGTAAGTTGGCCACCAAAGTGGACAAACTGCCCCTACCACCGAGACTTAAACGTTCCTTGATGAATGTGAATTGAATGTTATTTATGCAGACTACTGTATTATCTGTAGTTTATATATAACACATTTCATGTGTTGTTTGTGAAGTACCTGCAAAGTGGGTTGCTTTCAGTAAAATCTATTTGTTACCTTTTATTTTTTTTTTAACTCTAATTGTTTTATTTCACCAAATTTCAGAGTGCTTATTACAATTGCAGCTTGAAAACTATGGCTTTTTAATCCTGTGCAATAGTGTGTGAGCTTAGTCAAGCTTTCTTTAGTTTGCATTGTTACATCGTTCTATTAAGTGTACAGATTCTATTTTAACTCTTTATTTGGAGATATATTATTTCATCAGATTTTGAGAGAAAAGTGTTTCCAAACCTCTGATCATAGGTACCAGGGGTTGCATAAGCTTCACTCTTATATAGCTGTTTTAGTGTGTGTATTTCCCTTGGCACCAAGAGCAGTCATATCTGAAGCTAACACAGTGTAGAGTACATTCTCAGCTTTCAGTGATTAAGATACTGAAGATGCATTGGCATGGCTGTAAAGAGATATGCAATTTTAAAGTCTATGTCCTAGCTTCTGCACCTTCAGTTTTTTTAGTCAAGCATAGGACATTTTGCACGACTCCAGTGTAAACTCCTGTAAAACGAACAAATGTAAGATCTGTATTTTGGTAGTGCTTTTGATGGAAGAACTAATTTTTGAGATAGCAGTGTCATCATTGTCATTATTGTGTTCTTTTCTGGCACTCGGCTTGGATTTCAGTTTTAAAAGGAACACCAGGTTGTTGAAACAGTTTATTTGTACTTCAGGTTTTTACATTAAAACTTGAATAATATTTGAAATATTTTAAAAACAATGTTTAAATTTAGATTTAATTAAACTATGTGCAATGTCATTCAATAAAATTTCTAAGACTGTTAACAATATTTTCAATAAACATTTAATAAGGCTTTTACCTTGACGCTTGGAATGAATAAATTATTTGAATACTTTGCTTCGTGTTCTCCACTACACGCAGGAAGAATTAATACTGTCACAAAATATGCCCGTAAATAGCAGGATATTTAAATTATTTGAATCTTTCATTTCTATAAGAATGTAAACAGTTTGCTTATAAACAAAACCTTAAATATTATGTGAATATAGATGATGTACGTCATGAAATATCAAATTCAAAATTCTTGCCCAATAACCTGATGAAAATCACTCAAAATCACCCAAAAACGACCAGTCACCAATTTTTCCGAAATGTGATGAAAATCAATCTACCACACCTGTCATTCATAAAAAATGTGGAAACACGCCCGGATCACTTCATTAAAGCCCCCAATTCAAGCTTTAAAGATAGCCAAAAACACAGCTGAAAACAGGATCTGGAGGGGGGGGGTGGCCAGAGTTTTTGCTCTTTTTCTTCCTTAATATTGACACAACCACTCTTCCAGTACTTTATACTTACTACAAATGACCCAACACTACCGCAAAAAAAAATTTTTCTTGGCCAATCACGGACTGTTATAGACGAATGAAGTTCTGTGAGAGAAATTAGTGATTTTTCCAGTTTTTTTCCCTGATATTTTTTAGTGTTGCTAGGTTTAATTTTGATGTCAAGGAGCAGGTTGGGCCGTCAATTGCTGCCAATTTCTTTTGCAGGACCAGGCTAGTGTGCCGTGTGGGACCAATGGCGGAGGGATCGAGCTTCTGACTTTGAGCAGTGCAGTGGTTTGTTTACAAACAAGGGGTGTGCACGTGTTCAATACTGCATGACGATATGAAAAGTACCGGTAACTCTTTGCAGTATAATTTTGTGTGATTGGCAGTTATGTCAGTGAGTCTGCTGTCTATAGGAATACGAAATATTTCACCAAATTATTTTGTTCATGCAGTTTTGTTGGCATTTCTAAGACTATGTGCGGCCGTCAGGCGTCAATGGGAATTGAAATTATTCGTCGGTTTCCATTGTTCTCGTAATGTGTGCATGTAAACGTATTACAAAATAAACTGATATTGTCGAAGCCATTTGCCCGTAGCTCCTTATGTAGGCCTCACATTTCAGAATAAATCACATTAATGTTACAGTGCTAATATTAACATTTAAAACACATTCTTAGTGCAACAGTTACTTCTTGTTGAATTAATCTAAGGACAATTACAACGTTTAAAACATAACATGACAGATAAATGGCCTTAATCAATATCAATAATAATAATAATAATAATAATAATCACCGTCTGCAGCTGCCACGCCCCGTTTGTAAGCCATCTTGACACAGTTTGAAATAACGCGGGTTCTCGAGTCAGATTCGATATGTAAACAAACACAATTAATTCATGAGTGAAGAGAGACCACGCATGTTTAGAGAACCTTAACAGGTAAGCAAGTTATATTCACTATGAGCAGTTTTCAAATACATGTAGGAAGGTACCGTGCACGTGGCGGGGAAACCAAAATGCCTGGTAGTGGAAGGTAAGTAGCGTAAGTAAGCGCTAACGTTTCCTCCTGTAACGCATTTGCAATCCCAAACCACTCGTACTGGGTACTGCTACGATACATGTAGGCTTACTATCTCACCTACTGAAATATTTAATGTTTGCTGGATACTGTAACTGAAATGCGGTTTTGTGACTCACAGTTTATTCCTAAGGAAGAAGCCGGATAATCTAGTCTTTTCATGAAACACACAAAGATTTTAGGATCATGTTACTTAGTCTTTGCCAATAACTCCTTACTTACTAACTTACGTACATTCTATTGGGTAACAGATAAATCTTCAGTATTCAGTGACCAAATAAATTGACATTTACACACTTGTCATCTTACAGGTGATGTCATGATTGTGATTTTGGGCTAAAAATTTTTTTTTTAATTGGTATCTGAATGTTCACAAAACATGACAATATTTTTTGCTAATTAAAAGTTACGTGAATAAGGAGCATTTTAATCTTTAATGGTGTTTCTAGTTTAAACTGGTTCTCACAGAAGTTCTCACTGATGCCAATGTTGCACACTTAGGCAAGTACATGCCATTTACGTCTTACTATTATAATTAGAAAGCAAATTCATTATTTGAAATGTGACTACATGTCATGTATGTGATTATAAAGTTACACATTTTTGTTATTCTAGTGTATTCATCTAATTTTATGCAAACTCAATATTCCAGGAAAAAATTGACCTGGGATAAAACATGTATGGCTTATTTGGCATGGGGCCAAAAATCTTGGAAAGAAGAATCTGATATCACTGTGGGTAGATATGCATGGGAACAACACAAACTGTTGCACCATTTTCTATATTTTCAGGTAGAGAAAATAAGTGAGCTTTTTTTCCATCGCAGATGTTTTCTTTTTTTAATAGAGTTATAAACTAAGAATTCAAAAGCTCTTTTTTTGCAATTTTATATTTTATGCTGGACAGACAAAGAGTACAAGAGATCTGGATGCATGGACCAAAGACATATAAATTATACTCTCACTATTGGGAATGCGAGCAAGACTACGGAAATGTTTTGGTGAGATATTGCTGCAGTGTTGTGTTTATTTATTTATTTGACAAAAATCTCACAGTGTAATACCACAGTCTAAATTTAAGTATACACTTTAAATTATAAATTATGTATGTATATTATAATATACTTATCAGGTAACAAAAATTATATGGACTTAGTCCCCATTCCCATACCTAGATCAATCTAGCATGATCGACCCATCTCCAAGGGGATTCTGACTAAGTTGCGTTCAGGATAAAGCAGCTTAGATGTCTGACATGCCTACTGAAGCAGCTAAACGATTGTTAATTACTTCCTAACAGCTTCAGTAGGGGTGCCAGACATCAGCACCACTTAGGCTGAGATAGGTTGATCCTGCTAGATTGATCTAGGTATGGGAATGGGATCTAACACTAATCAGATATCAGTCTTTATTCAATCAAGGCAAAGTATATAAAGAAAATTCATTTTCACTTCCAGCCAAAATGGAGGGGAGTTCTACCATCACATTCAAAATGAACATGAATTGTTTTTAGAGATGGTCTGGGGGAAGCACATTGTCAGCATGAACCTATCCCACCAGAGGCTGAGAGGAACAAACCATGGCTAGAACCTGGGTCACATGCAGTTCCGGCACTGGTAGAAACTGCTCTAAACAAGAGGTTTCAAAACAACTTATCTCAGGTTATTAACACAGGTAATATACTTGTAGCAACATTAGCATATTATAGAGGATACAAGTGGAGTTTTTGTCTCATCACAAAGAACCTCTCCAGACCCAAAACTTGTTTAAGAAAATGTTTAAGGACTAGCTGCAGTTAACAAGATGACAAGATGGGAAGCTCTTTTTGTGTTTTCTTAGCTGTGTGCTGTTTTGTCTTATATGTAGACTCTGTTAGTACTGTGATGGATACTGTACGTATATATTCAGGTACAATGTATGTTCTAATTTATGCAAAGAATCGTTGTTAAACAACTATGGTAGAAAAATTGTAGAGCCTGGATTTATAAAAATCACTATATAAAGTTAAATCTATACAAATGTAGTAAGAGGCATT